ATAAATCAAACAAGCAAATCGACATGTAAACAACAATTTTTGCAAATTCAATTGAATTTCGAACTTGTGGAAATGAAACGGAGACCATAACCCAAGGAGACCCAGGACCGGGATCCGCTGGGACTCGAATCCCAGCAATTTTGCCAATCGCACGATACACGTGCAAACAACAACAACAACAACAGCAGAATCAGAGTCCTGAATCCGAATCAGAATCGGAATCGGAATACAACAACCACAATAGCAACAAAGGCACGCACACTCAATTATTTGCTAAAAGCTTATGTAAACGCCTCCGTGTCAGGGGATTTTATTAACTGCTTCTTTTTCGGCCTGGCCTATTGAGCCGGGCGGACAGGCTAAGCCGAAATTTAAAACTAACACAGTCAGGCACACACTGGGACAGTGGGAAATTTGCACACAGATCGCTTGACTTGGAGCAAAGCGCCCTAGATAAGAATCGTAGAAAACATCTAGGTGGAAAATGTATTTTCCAAATGCCCTTTCACAAAAAAAAAAAATCAAAAAAAATAGACAACAATGGGAGGCGAACAGGAAAATTGACCCAGCTAATGGGCATCCACAAACCCTCCGCCATGCAGAGTGAAGCACAATTTCAACTTAACATCAACTGGTTTGTATTGTTATGTATTTTTGGTAATCACAAACTGTTCCTATGGTTTTGATGCTAAAAGGCTTAGAAGACGTCTAATTTTCTGGGCTCTCGGCTATATTTCCACAGCTAAGTCCACCTGCAGAGTCTTCTATTTTAGTGCCCAGTTAATGCTCTTCTTCGTGAGGGTATGCCACCGACACACACACACAAAGGAATTGAAAAATGCTCAGGAATGAATCAAAGTGAAAAGAAATACAGAGCAACAGACATGAGGGACTCAGCTCCCGATGTGTGTGCTGCGTCCGCCTAACGAGCGAATCGTGTTCAATAAATATTTACCAGTCAGTCGGAGCGGCCCTGAACCATCGGAGGAGTACGGAATCTATCCCAAAATGCGGGCAGAGGAGTGGGAAAAGGAGCGCCACAGAGGAGTCTCTGCTGAGACGGTCTATGCGGGTGGGTTCCCAAAATGGGGACTAGAGTACGGTCAGACACTCGGAAAAAGAGAGTTGCCTCCAAATGAAGTGTGAAAATCTCTGGCTTGTGCTGATTTTCAAATTTAACCGGAACTTAAGTGACTCTTACTTGACTTTCTACAAGGTTTATAAGATGTTTGGAGCTTAATTTTCCTAATGTATAAGCACGCTTACTGGTAACAAGCTGCCTTCCTTCCAATTTTTCTACCAGTGTAGTTAGTCTAGCGAATCCGTGGCGAATCCCGAGCCGTCCATCAGCTGCTTGCTTAGCTAATACCGCGATGGCAGCGCCTTTGCATCTGTGCATCTATCCGGATTCGCGTCTATGAAATATTCATTCATTTGCAGCTCACTCTGGAGAATTGGTTCATGATGTTCTCTGCTGGTACTTCAGCTCCTTCCGACTGCGTCTCCTACTCCGTATCCGCCTCCTACTCCGCCTCCGACTCTGGCTCGAACTCATGCCTCAATTTATGAGCGCCCAGTGTGTGCTTTAATAGTTCGCAGCTGAATTAATTGGCTGCTGCGTCAGTGGCGCAAGATGAGGCGGCGATAGATGCGGCGCATATATTTACCATATATCTCGCACTTGCCATTAAAATAATTTAATCAAAATGTTGTTTAAGCCAACGCAGTTCGGAGATTTCGATAAGAGCGGATGGCTGTCTGAGAGATATATCTTTATGGAGCACATGTGCTCTGCCTGCCCCGGGATGTGCAAGTGTGCGAGTGTGAGCAGGGAGCATAAATTTTAATCAATTCTATGCTTACTTTTGCTATCTCTTGGCCACACTTTGCCTTTTTATTTTATTTACTGCTCTAGATACGCTGCTCCCGAACTGTTATGCACTTTTCTTTTCGTTTTTTTAGGGAAACTATAGGAAGTGAATACTCACTTTGTGACGGATTTCCCTACATTTAAATAGAAAATTCTTGTTAACCTTTTCTAATACTTGTAGAGACCGGATGTGGAATCTTTAGTTTTTGGGTCTATTGTCCTTATATTTTTTTATTAAGTTAGAATGTCCTTTTTCAAGTAAGTGTATTCCATCTTCACTCTACCCAAAGCCCTTATTATGTACTTTTTTACTGGCAGCAACTGCAGAAACCAGCTGATTGTAACGAAGGCAGATTAAAACTTATGCACACTCTCAGCTAGGGGCGCGGAGCTACTCCCTTTCAGGGCCCGAATCCGTATCTGGATCCAAGGACTGAGACTTAGACTGGACCGTAATGTGAGCTATGCTAGTTTTATGGCAGACAGCCGGCAAATGGGTTACGGCAAACACCCGACGCCCGACACCCGAGCCCAGTGACAATAAAAAATGTAACTAACCGTCGCTGGTCGCCTCGGTCGAGGCATTGTAAATGCTTTATGAGCCTTTGGAGTGCCATAATTTTCACTTAATAATCCGTTGAGTAGCTGCCCGTGATTTGTAGCCATCCCGATTCGAACAGAACGGACCAGGGTAGAGCGGAATATAGAGCAACGAAGCGGAGCGGCCCGGAGCGGAACAAGAGTGTAATGAGCTGCGGGAGCGGTGGCCAAAACAATTTGAAAGTTTTTGCCAAAAACATATTGTGTGGCTAATTTTATTTGTCGCCAATTGGGAGCGATGCCGCCGTCCGCCTGACACACTAATTTATAGTGAGCCAGAGCTCCGCAGCACCTGCGCCCGCCACAGTGTATCGCTTTTAGATACTCCTATTTCTGGGCCACAGCCAGCTCGGAATATGGCAAAATATGGCAAAATAATAATGCGCGATGCCCCCGCCCGGGCCAGGGCCAGGCACAAAAAATATTTAATGGCCAAATTGCACATGAAATTGCGCGCATAAACTAATTACCGCGGATAAAGTTTAACAAAGGCGGAGGCAACCAGGAGCGGGTGCTGTTTGGTAGGTGGTTTACATGCACTCAAAGAAAATATATGGTTAATATAGTAAATTTATAGTGTAACTAAAATATGTAATAGACATGGGAATAAATTTAAAATTAAGTTAATTGGGCTCCCAAATGTATGACATATATTACGGTGTTTTATAATTATTTATATGTAAATAATTATATTTTTAAACGATAATAAAAGAGGTTCTTAAAGGAAATACAAAGTTAATATTATTTTTAATTATATTTAAAAAATTCCATTACTCTTTTTAATGTATAAAAATCGTTTCCTGTTGCGAAGAAATTGGTGGAGCTTCCAGCTGACTCGATTTTTTCAAGTGTCTTATTCGGTCCTGACTTCAGCCGGAGCGACCAGCTGCCACTCTGCGGCACACCGGATCCTGACTCCGGAGCAGAGTCCTGCAACTCGACTGCCATCCCGCTGCTTCTGGGCCACCAGTCGGCACTCACATGGCGTCGCTCCCGTTTGTCAGCATTACCGGTATTTACAATATATATATATTTTAATATTTTCGGGGTCCCCGCGCTCCCAGGCAGGCCGACTCCAATCCCTGAATATTGGTATGTTACTGTGCCAAATTGTTTATGAAAAATTGCGTATGACGACGCCGTCGTTGGCCCATAAATCAAGCCGCCTTGGCCGAGGATTTGGGCCGGGAACTCGACGGGTCGCATGGTGGTTCGGTGCCTCAATGGCCCGGCCCCGCTCGGTAATTACAATGTAGCCGCCTGTGAATTTAACGATCTGGGGGTCATCGGGCGGCGGAAACACAATAGTCCACAACAGCCAGGCGCCACTCCCCCGAAGGAAAAGGGTTTCCTTTGGTCAGTTCGGTTGGTCAGTGGATTGCGGGCTCTGTGCGTTCGGGGGCGGCATGTTAACAAAAGTGTGAGCCAAGTGGAAAATAACATTAAAAAGGGCCATAACAATAACTAACAAAGACACCAAAAGCAAATGGCAACGCCGAATGGCTGGCTAACTGGCAGAAAGGCAAGAGAGCAGCCGCTCCTTGCCGCATTCCCTGCTCGACAGGAGCAGGCCGACAAAAATTAAATGGCGCGAGAAAATTGCATGGCCGGTGTGGTGCAAAGAGAGAAAAGCCGGTTTACATAATTGCCCCGAGCCAGCGGCGACACTGAGAGAAATGGCTTAGTTTTAGGGCGTTAGAGGAACACTGTGTCAAGCAAGAGGAGCTTTATTAAACAATATAGAACAGGTCAAGTTGTGAGGTAAAAAATCATTTTAAATTCCAATAATATATTGAAGATTTACAGATTTTCGGGAGTAAAAGGAATCTTTTCCAGTGCAGATCCAGCAGAATAGATGCATGAGACGGGCTGGATCCCAGAAGCGGGCGAGGAGTTCGGGTAGAAAGCAATCATTGCTCGCAAGCAGGCGAGAGTGTGTACCAGTACTGAGTCTGTGGCCATGTATGCCCTTGCCCCTCCATAACATTTAACTATTTCCTGAAATATATACTCTTTGTCTTGCCCAGCTTTGCGGTGGCATAGTTTCGGCTTGCTTTAGTTGGGCAGTAAGTCACAGCTCCAGACTCCAGAAAACCGAAGAGCAATGGTCCGGGCAATGCTGTAATAAAAGGTTGATCATAACAGAGTAATGTGTTAACCCTTTGAAGCGAACTGGCATCACAAAGCCGAAAAGTATGCAGCACAATCAACAAATATCTAAATTAATTTTAAGCCCCGCTAAGCATTCAAGGGGCGGGCAACATTTAATTGAACGCTAAATCGGTTTAAGCTTTGCATACTTTGCGGTTCCATTGCAAATTAATGAAAAATTAAAGCGCTAAACTAGCTAAATTGCATTCAAAATATATGCTTTGCGCTCTCGGCTGTTTATTTGCCGGCAAATATTAGTTTGCTCATGATAAAATGTTTCATTATTCGACCAAATCTGTTCTGTAGAGAAATTAATTACCGGTATTGTCATACAAGAGCCTACGACGATTTAAAACCACCCGAAAGAAAACACAGAGGCTTGCATTTATTAACTATTTACTACTTAGACCTAGAGTATCTCAATTAATCTTTATGGATAGACTTATATTAAGTTCACTTACACTTACAACTGGGATTTTATTTAAGTAATTCATTCAGTTTTCAGTGCTCCGATAAAAATTAATGACCCAAAGCGATTACAAACTTTTGTTACTTTTCCTTGAAATATCAACCCCATACTCCCATTCTCCAGAAAGAAACGCAGAGACCACGTACTGTTTTGCTATTTACTACTTAGACCTAGAGTAATGCGATTGTTAGTTGGTGTGACTAATATTAACTGGGCTTACAACTACGGTGATCTACGGCGGAGCGGAAATGCAGACACAATTGGCAGCTAGCAGCTTGCAGCTCAGCAGCTGTGGCACTTGACCAGGCCCACCTCGTCGCAGTTCATGCATTTGAGCGCCACGAACTCGGCGGTGAAGTGGTTGCGGTGCACGGACTTCTTGGAGCCGTTGCAGGAGGGGCAGGGCAGCAGGCGGTAGCCGCCGCAGGTCTGGCAGGTGAAGGTGCTGGCCATGGACTTGTAGGGCTTGAGCAGCTGCCTCAGCTCGCCGGACTCATTCAGGCGCTCCACAGTCTCGGCGTCGCCGATGTGCTGGCCCTCGACGTACAGCTGGGGGACTCGCACCTGGCCCGCCTGCATCCGCTGGCGCATCTCCGCCTGGTACTCCACGCTCATGAAGACGTCCCGCTCCTCGAACTTGACCAGCAGGGTGCGCAGTATCTGCTTGACATTGGCGCACTTCGTGTACGTGTCCCGGATGATGCCCATGCTGGTGGTGTACAGTACCACCTTGCCCAGGTCTTTCTCCTTGAAGTTCTGCGGATGGGATGAGGAGAAGAGCGGAGATTAGTTTGAGTTCTGGTTTGGCGGCGGAAAGCAGGCCACCGAAAACTGGAAACTGGAAATCGGCGCAGCATTCGCCACAGAGCGCGGATTTCGAAGTTTGTCATGGTCAGGCAAGAATGGCAATGCCAAATTGGGTCTCCACCAGCTGAGGATGAAGGCCACCGCAGACAAAGGCTAGGCGGAAGCCACTCGACAGGCGTATCGCGGAATCGGTCGAGATTTCAGCTGTCAAACCACTATCTAATGGACCTTTATGCGCTTTATAATACAAAAGATCGATGCATGCGAATTTATTTATTTATATATCAGGTTTTATAATGCTTGTGTCTTTGTTACTTGTCCAATGTTAAAAGAAATCGGTGTGGGTTTTGTTTAACTAAATTCAACAACATAATTATTAAGGATTCGTTGCAATGCCCTTAGATATCTATTCATCCTATTAATCCTCTCCAAATTTATTTTGCATATTAAAGAAATTTTCTCCAGGTGCAGTTGTTGAAAATTGACATTGAAAGCATTTGAGCTAGAATCGGGTCTCAGCCAAAAAGCCACAAGTGAAATTGGGATTCGGGTGCCGAAAACTGGTTGGAAACTTCAACTTGATCTGCGGCTGGTTTGTGGAAAACCTCAGCCCCTCGTTGCTGCCAGAGCTGCGGGTTCATTAGCTTGGAGTCACGTAACCGGGCAACTCTGCATGTCACTCAAAATCCTATTAATCAATACAATTAAGCAATAATAGGAAAACTGCTAGGCAATCGACAACGCAAGCAGCTAAAGACAGATACAGAGACATGGAGAGACAGCGACGACGGGCGGCACAATGGAACCTGGAATGTTTTCCCGACAATTTATGATGTCTTATTTTGTAAGCCCGAACCTGTTTCGTTTGACAATTAACATTTCCGTTAGTTGGCCAACTTTGGTGGCGTCTGCTTTGGCTAATGAACCAAGCCGAGACGACGCGAGTCGCTCCGATCCGATCCGATCCCAATCCCGATCCCGATACCAATACCAATTCCCCCACCTGCTAATGCCCACATACACCACAGGTATCAATGAACCGTGGAGATGGACTTACAGCACAGGGCAAAGCCGATGCAATATAATAAAATAATTTCATTTAAATATTTTTATTTAAAATTGAATGATTTCAATAGTTACTTTTGGTGAAGATCACAAAAGTAACACAAAATATATTGTAAAAACAAACCAAGAAGGCTTACATAAAGGAATCTCATACTTGGAATTGCGTATGTATTACCCATAAGAGAATAACTAGTTTTCGAAATAAATAATCTGAAAGAAGATTTCTTTATTCGATATTACTATCCTGTATACTGGATCGAAGAATCTCGAAACCGGTGCGATGAGAATTTGCATTGCGTTGGCAGGACAAAAAATTAATAAGCTGGAGAAGCCCGAGGGGTTATGGGAATGGGAAGTGAAGGAAAATGCAGACAGCATCAGGCATTCCGGGAGAGATGCAGCTGCATGTGCCGTTGTCAACGATAAACGATATAGACAAAAGCGAGAGAAATATTTCACGACAAGCTGAAGCTGTAGAAAAAGTTCAAAGCCACGCAGCACGAACCAAAGCGACAATAAACAAGCTGGCTGGCAAGCAAACAGACAACAAACGAGCTGCGGTCAAATGGAAAGTCAGCTCGGCTCCAAGCCAGCTCTAAGTGAACGTTGCCGTTGCCGAGCTGTTTTTCCAATTCAACTCTGTGGATTGCCTTTAGCGAAAAGAAAAGCCCGATCTCGAGTCCGCTGAGTGGCAAGTCATCTGTCAGTGGTTCAATGTCAGCGACGGCTGGCGATTAGCATTGCCGAAAACCCAGCACACTGGCAATTAACAATTGCCACACGTGATTTGCACGCTTGACCTTTGGCTCGTCAACTCGGCGGAGGTGCAACTTGGCAGCAGCAGAAGCAGTCGCAGCAGCAGTAACAGCAGCAGAAATATCGGCGGCGCAGCAGCAATGCTACCAATAAGCGGACAAAAGAGAAAGCAGGTCACTTGTATGGCCAAGAGCCAGCGGTGGAGTGATTGGCAATCGAAGAGTTGGGCAACAGCCACATCGAGATGGAGGCTAATGCCGCAGAGCACAGCGTTGCTCCGCATCGCATCGCACCGCCGCTGTAGCTGTGGCTGAGACTGAGGCTTCTCGAAGGTGACAAAATGAGTTGTGAATGTTGTGTTTTCAGCACCTCCAATTTGTTGGCCGGCCATCGAAGATTCGGCGGTGAGCGGTCTAATTATGGCTCCCAGCAATGCGGCGAGCATTGAGCTTGGATCAAAAGAGCTGGAAAAAGGCCAAAGCAAAGGCAGACCGACAGACCCGCCGCCTTTTCACTTTCGATTTTTACTGCTCTGCATACTGGGGCTGCACCATAATTAACAGCATCTCACTTTCCTCATTGTGGCCAGAGTGCCCCGTACCCCTAATTTGCATGCGAGCCGCTATAAGGCCATAAAACATTTCTATTCAGTTAGCATCCACTTAAGTTATGCTGATCCGCTGGCTGTTGTGTTCCTGGTCTGCTATCATTCCATCAATTCATCAAGTTCGGCTCTGTGGCTCGGAAAGTGAAATGCAAAAGCAAAAGCAAAGCCCGGACTCGACGGCAGTCAGAGACTAACTCGGAGAAACAATTAAAGTGATCTGAAATCTGCTCATTAAATTAGGCAAAGGGAAATTTCTGAGCGGCAGCGAAATGGGAGCGCGGGGCAGCTAATAAAAATTAAAAAGCATAAAAAAACAATACCCCGCCAGTAAGGTATTTATGGACCAGAAAAGATTTCTACTCCAGCTCCAGTCACGGCTGACAGAGGTAAAGCGGGGAAAAGTGCTCAAATGGGCGGAAAAACGTTGGGGCGATAATCCATCAAATGGGGACAGGTTTCCAATCCTAAACGGTGTTCAATGTGGATAGACCCGAAATCGATCACAACTATTTCGAAACCCTAATATGAGCCAGCTGTCACTTGCGATGGGGAATTCCTAATGGCAGCAATCCAGATAATTTCCGATATTAAGATGCGAAATTTTAAGAGTTTGTATAAGATAATTTACCCAATCGCAATAGTAGAAAGCTCTTCAATATAATAAAATGAATAGGTTTATCACAGGTATAGGAAAGGGAAACAATTATAGTCAATGAAGATTGATCGTTAAATCGAATCACTAAAACTTATGCAATCCAAAAGCTATCTTTGCAGACTTCAAAGAATAATTGCAGCATCGAAATGCAAGCATGAATCAAAATGCGGTACATTGATATTTGTTTTCGAAGACATCGCTATAAATTAACCCATCAAATGTCTTGTGTTCAAAAGACTTTAAATCAAAACCTAGAAAGCTCTCTACGGCAATGAACATAAATCAACGGAGATATTGATTTATCAAATGAATTAATTTGCCTCACAATCTCGGATCACTTTATGCAAAACTAGTTCCGAGAACACGCCTCGGAAAAAGAAACTGTGTCCAAGAGCGCGTTTACGATGGCAATTCCATACGGAATTAGCTGAATTAGCTGTTCTTTTATTTGTTTTCCAGCTGCCCCAACTGCCCGACATTAACTGCGATTAGTCGCGTCAATCCGGCGCACCAAGCCACCACCAATCTCTGGGAACGAAAAGCGGAAAACAAAGCCGAATTCGGCCAAGATATCTGGTCTGGCATGAGCCGAGTTAAGCCATCCGCGCTATCTGGGCAAGTTGTAAACGAGCGCTAAGCGCATACAAAGCGACATCGGCGGAGACAAAATAAGCCACTTAACGGTTTCCATTATAATTGAAGAAGTCGAGAAACCTCGCGAAGACGCTGAAAGCGCAGCTTACTTATATTCATTAGATTACGGGCCAACTGCGCTGGCCCCCAATACAAAATACAGATACGGAATACGGGAGATATTGAAAGACCAGCACTTTCTCCCAGACAATTGGCAGAGTGCTCGCTCGCAACGCGCAAATTGCATAATTTCTGGGCGGCCGAAAAGCAGGTGACTCAACGCCCAGCGGCGTGGGAACCGAGTAACCGCCAATAACTGAATATTCATATCGGAATCCATATTTACAGCGGCAGTCGAAACTGTAGCGAAGATATATTGAGTCAGCTGGCATCAGGTTTTAATTCAAATAACTTTAAATCGTTACATTTAAGACGCACTGAAGCTATCAGCAGTGAAACTACTTAAGCCACGCAGTATATGATGATGAGTTTCTTTTAAATATGTAAATTTTAAAAATTTTTTAAACAAATTCCAAATGAATTAAAGCAACTATCAAGCCAGAGAAATATACTTTAACGTTTTAGTGCATTGCAAGTTTCGATAGAAAATAAATCCATTATTAAGCACGATAATTGCCTCTGCCCTCGCCTGACCCCTAGCGTATTCTAATATTCCTCTTCCATCCCCATCTTAGTCCCGATCCCTCGACTCACCTTGGCATTGGGCTGCTGGTGAAGCTGCAAGAACGTGGCTATTCCATTGCGCACACGGTTCCTGACGCCCCGCACCGTTCCCTTGGCCGATCTGATGGTGGACTGCGTTGAACCGGCCCCGCAGCGCACATCCCGATAGCCGGCGAAGAGGTCTTGCTGCTCCGTTAGGATCCCGCTCTGCGCCTCTGCTCCCGCACCTGCTCCGCGGGAATGGTCCACCTCGTCGCCGTTGCCCGGGAAGCTGGGGAAGTTCTCGTGCTCGTTGATGTGAAAGCTGTAGTATTGGTCGTCCGCATACTTGTAGTTGATGTTGCTGCTGCTTGCAGGCAGCGATTGCGGGGCGGCCTCAATGCTGTCCAGCGTCTCCTCACCGGTTTGCACAAAGTTGGCTCGCTCCACGGCCGCCCGCAGCTCCTCGATCTTCTCCTCGCTCAGCGACTCGCGGGCCAGACGTAACGGGCTGCTCTGCTGCTCCGGGGCCTTGGCCTGGATCTTTTTCTCCTCGGGCTTGCTGGACAACTGCACCACGAATTCGGACCCGCGTCGATCTCGAATGTCACGGAGCAGGCTATCTGGTAGCAGGGCGCCCAAGGCCCTTAGCGACTTTTGGCGCTGCCGCTGTCCACTTGGCTGGGAGGCGGCCTGGCGGACGTACTCCGTGCTGCTGCCGTGCATGGAGTCGCTGCCCAGGGAGGAGGGTCCGCTCTCCTCACTGTCGTCCGGCTTGGCCGGGATGCCGTTGCTCTCGAGGTCGCTGCCATTGCCGCTGTCCGCGGCCTCACAGTGGGCGGAGTACTGCTGATACTGCTCCATGAAGCTTCCTCCCTTGCCGACGGGGGGCGTGGCCAGCACCATACTTACTGATTTAAGCACTATTTAGTTCAAGCTCGTGTTTATTATTTTAGTGTAGACCGATTGTCCGCGGGCACTGTCTCGGCGTGTGATGATCTGCGTTTGGGCCAGGAAAATGCAAGCGTTCAATGACTCTGACGGCCGTTGCTCCCGAGACGTCGCATGTCTTTATGCTTCAGCTCTCGTCGTTAGACTGGCCCGACTTTTTCTGGCCACCGCTCCAAGCAGCTCTACGATCGCTCCGCTCTCCACTCGCTGGCTCTCAGCGGCTCCACTCGACTCTCTAGGCCGCATTCAGCGACTCCGCTGACTCAGCTCCGCGACAACTCCGCGGCTTTCTTTCGGGCAGATTGCACCTTCGCTGCGCGTTATTAGATTTTGTAATTTAGCACCCGTTCCTGCACTCAAAAAAAGCCGTTTTAGAAAAATATAAACATACACCTTAATTGAAAATAATGCAATTTTTTCTTACGTATTATCGACTGTCAATTCGAACCCTGATCCAATTGCAAACTGTAAGGCCTCCCGAAGTTATCTTTCATAATGGCTTATAAACCTATAAGACGATTTTTCTTACTTCTACTGTGCCTTTTTTTCCGGGTGCTCTGCTCAAATCATTTGTCATTAGCCCCAGGAGAAGTTAGAATTAGCAATTGGCCTACACCGCGATGAGCAGCAGCTGCCAAAGTTGGCATGACGCCTGCGCGTGACTGTGACGCGATACCAACTGGTAAGTAAGCCCCGATCTCTTGGCCAGATAATGCGCCGCCGAGAACCGTAAGAACACAAATTAGCGGTGACTCCAGCAGCGCCTACTGGAAATGCCAGCTATTATTAAATAACACACAGGTGATGGTCGCAGATCTGCGGAAACTTGACCCACATGCAGCTTTGGCTAGCGGTTATTGGCTAATACTTGTACCTTTTGACACCACGACTGGGTCTTTAAAAACACCAATTAACGTCTTGGTGAATATTTGTGATGAATAATTTGAAAGTCAGTGTCAAGGTGTACGAACGTTGCTCTATTTTTGTTTCTGATAATTATGACCCCTTAAAGACGTTTTTAAAATGTTAAAATATATTTGTAAATAACAAATAAAAAAATAAACACATTTGCAAGTTATTTAAAATTATTTAAATTACGACCAGTATATTTTATAAATTTTTCTTTGACGTTTCAGACTGTATACTAAGTGTTAAAATGTATTATCAGCCCTGACCTTACCAAGAATTGTGATATGTGTAGTTTAAGTATCGTATAGTTTAGGTATATGTAGGCTGTCCAATTACCAATTTACATGAGCTTAACATGAACATCGAACAGCATCTTGCGTGAACATAATGACCACGATTAAAGGCGTTTAAGATAATCAGAACTTGATGAATAATCTTCAGGTGAATAATTGCCACAGATAATTTGAGGCGTGCGTGAGAATTTTCGGAATTTTTTATTGAATGAGTAGCGACATTGACGGCTTATAATTATTTCCTGTACAGATATAGTAAGCCACTTTGGCCCATTCATTCGGTGGCGAAAATGAGGTGGCAGCCAGAAAAAAGAATTTCTGTTGCACCCTCTCTGCAAGCCACATCGGAATTATATTGACTGAAGAGTTAGATATCGCATAACTGACAGGGAATGTACCCATTATCAGCATAGAGAGCAGCGGAAAAGATACTAACTATGAAGTCGTCGCCAAATTGTTCGAAACCACAATCTATGCTTATCTGGTAGCCTCTCAAAAAATCGACCGAATATCACGTAGAAGATGCGGCCGGCTGGCGCAGACTCTTCTATGGATCGGAGCATCAATAGAGCGGGTCCGGACAATCGAAGCTTCTATCGGATGGTGACAAATTTCGGAGAATGCTGATGTCAGGCGTGTTTATCGCGCAATGTGATGTCTGCAGAATTTTGGCTCCGATAATACCAAGATCTTGGGTGAGTGTATCAGACTTCGACGCGTGCCGCCGCTGTCAAGTGTCATATAAAAGGCCCGGTCGCATCTCGAATTGCATTGAGTTTCGGTGTCTCAGAACTGCAAGAACATGGCCGAACAGCGAATGATGCTCCTCTGCATTGGATTACTTTCCCACCTGCTGGTGGCCTCCGCTGCCGGTGTGCCCTGCTCCGATGACGATGTTCCGGTATGCGCCCAAAGCCGGCAAAGTGGAATGCACTTCCTGTTTGGCAACGAGTGTGATCTGAGGAAGGCTCAAAGAGGTAGCCTCATGGATGGCCCTCTGTGTGAGTATTTCATTACTTTAATATAGAATTCTCATTATAAACAAGATTTGTTACAAGTGCAAGTAATTTAAGAGGCCTCATGTTTATAATTTGCTTCTAATTTTTTTGTTAGATGACGTTCCCCTCCGCTTTTGTCTTCCCAACTGCGATTTCGAGTGCAATGCAAGATACCAGCCCGTGTGCGGAATCAGCTCCCGGAGAGGTGAACGCAGGACTTTCAGTAGCCGCTGTGAAATGTTGCGAGCCTCGTGTCTCTCCGGATCCGACTGGTTGCTCCAGCACTGGGGAGCGTGTCCCAGGCTCAACACAGTGCCTCTGGTTAGCCAGAAGTCTCAGCCCAAGCCCCGTTCTCAGCCTGAGGCACAGCCTCTGCCTAAGCCCGTTCCTTGCACCAAGGTCTATCGTCCAGTGTGTGCCATGTATGCGGGTGTGAAGTCCACCTTTTCCAACGAGTGCCTGGTGAATGCGGAGAACATTAAGACCCAGAGAAGTATGTGTTGGATATGGAACTGTTATCCAGTTTAATAGCTATATCACGGCAGTGAAACTGCCTTTCCTATGAAATAACATTGAATTGCGAGTAATTTCATAATTTTCTTTCCGCGCACAGATTGGCGCATCGTTTCCGAGGGACTTTGTGGCGAGGACAGCACCAAGATGAAGCACAGCCGCAAGTTCAAGCCAAAAGCCAAACCTAAGCTGGATGCAGACCGCACGAAGAGGAGTCACGGAAAGTCCACTCAAGCGGAAGACTTCCAGATACCCGAGGATGCCGTGGAAATCTACGCACCCTCCACCTTCCACACGGAGTTCATCAGCAACACGGGCGCCATGGTGAAGAGCTATTCCCTGCCCGCCCGCAAGCCATATGTGGTAGCTCCTCCAAAGAAAAAGTCAAAGATGCAACGGGGGCACGACACAGGTAAGACCTGTGTCTTTGGAAACGAGCCCGTCTGCGGGACCTTTAAGGCCGAAAGCCGCACCTTTGCCAGTGTCTGCGAGCTGATGGAGTACAGTCAGAAGGTCGGAAATGGTGAGTTAATCACGAAATTTTGTAGGAACAAGTGTTAAGAACTGAGTTTAATATTTTTCGTGTAGCTTGGACCATTTCTCACGAAGGAGCTTGTCGGCGATGCGACAAGCCGTGTCCCACGGTGTATCAACCCATTTGTGCAAGTCGAAACGGCGTCCACCACACGATCATCAATGAGTGCTACCTGGAGCGGGCACGATGCAAGGACCCCATCAGCGGTAAGTAGCACCTGATCTCTATAAAATGCAAGAGAGGATTTAATTTAATTCTCCTGGCAGCCTGGAAGTTCTCCTACAAGGGTGAGTGCCAAAAGTCAGCCGGTGCGGCATCCAAGTCAGCATCCGTTTACAAGAGTCGCACCTCGCCGCTGGTGCCACGCATTCTATACGGGATTCAAAGGACAACAACTACCACAGCACCACAGTTGCACATTAGGAAAGCTGGGATAAAGCCCACAACAAAGGCTCCAAAGGCTCATCAGCTCCCGATGAAAGCCTTCGAGACCACACATACGCCATCATTGGAAGCTAATAACCGAAAGATACGTAAGATAGACATGGCAGCAGCGGGATTTAATGATGTCAAGGGGTCAAGCGGAGCCAGCGGAATGGAATATGTGCCGGCTAGCGGAGAAGCCTCTTGGTCCACCAACGATAACTGGCTCGTGCAAAAAACCCTTGATAATGTCAAGGGCATTTTCAGCAAGAAGCCAACGTCCTTCAAGAAGGCTTCGCAGTACCAATGGATCAACAGCCCAAAGATCACCGGGGATTCCACCAGCACCACAGCTTCTCCTGTACCTCTCAAAGTACCAGCTAATCAGGCTCTCGACTCAGCGGAGCTGTTAAACTTGAACATTGGAAACGCTCCCAATGCCCATAAAGACACTGAGCCCAAACTGCTTTTCATGCTGAGCACCAAAACCACCACTCCTGTGTCCAGCTCTAAACCACTGCCAAACGAGTCCGCCAACACGAGAATTTCTACCAAAGAAACCATGGTGCCAAAGATCTTGAGCCTTGCCTCTACGGAGCTGCTGAACTTGGACATTGGAAATTCTGCCAATGCCTATGATGATGCTGCGCCCGAACTGCTTTTTATGCTAAGCACAAAAGAGGTTGCCAACATGAGCTCCACCACACCTGTGCCCAGCACCACAACACCACCCAGCAGCACCCAGCCCTCGACTGCTGAGCTGCCCACAAGCTGGGAAGCCTCTTCCCCCTTGGAGGAATCAGCCAGCAAAGGCTCCACCACGGACCCTGACGAGACTACAGATTATCCGACCAGCGAATCCACCGACTCATCCACCAGTAGCACCGCCCTGTACTCCACAACTGAGGCCGAGGAGCTGCATAGCCAAACCACCGGCAGCGAGTCGCCGACAACGTTGGCCTCCGATGAACTGCCAACAACCACTCAGAACGCTGACTACACGGCGGATGAGTCTTTCTCGGAGTCCAGTGGCCAGACCTCCATCTACGGACTGGACAAGAACTCGCTGATAATGCGTTTGCTCCGAGCCAGAAGTAACAAAAACGTTCTTATTTAGATAGTTTCGTTGTACAAGCCTAGGCCTAAGCTGTTGAATTTGTTTACTAAGAATAAATATTTAATATAAATTAATAAGTACTTTATTTAGTCTATTATTAAAACAACTTTTTAAGAAGTTCCATTTGGTGGCTTATATTGGAACTAAATTAGTATTTCTACACGCTTTTACACAGTCCACACGAAATTTACAGTTGTCAAATTATATGAAATATACAATTTCCATGAAATGTCAAAAGTATTGTGTAAAATTTATTTTACTGTAAACTTATGACGCACAACAATGGATGTAAAATCGGTGTTATTTCCAATTTTTCCAATCAAAAACGTATCGGCGGCGCCAGCGATTGTGTCCGAAAAATATATAATTTATACCAGTTACTAAAAGTTTTAAATGCAAGAAAATGCTATAAAAATGTTTAGTTACTTTAAATTTTAAAGTTTAAAATAATGCACTTTTATACTAGTGTTTAAAATTAGCTCAAAACACATTTTCGGACTCTCTATTGGCTGAATAAAATTGTGTTTTAATAAATATTTTAGTTAGAACAAGATAGGAAACTAACCGAAATTTGTATACCCTTGCAGTTTGCCAAAGGATCATGTCATTGAATCAAAAATCGCTCACAACTAAGCCAAAAAAGCCACAAATTAAATTCGGAAAGACTTCCTCTGTTAGTTTTCTCTAGGTTAACTAATCTGCATACTGAATGTAAGTATTTCTTTACGAACTTCTGACTAAGATTATAATACCCTGAAAGGGTATAAGAAGCAACCGTTAAGTCAAATGTCAATTACAGGGTGTGACCGTGTTATGGCCCTAATTTCTGTGGTCCGTGCTACGCTTCTGGTCCCTGTGGTGGATTATACTGTGGTTATCCTTGCTGCTAGCCTACAAGACCTAGCCAAAATGAACCACAATAAGTAATTTATGATAACTCATCCATAATAAACTATTAAATCGTATAAGCAAAACATCTTTTTTCCCATTGAATTCAGAGAACTATTTGATCGTTGCATTGTTTATTAAAGCAAGAGGGATACAGTCAATAGGCATATAGTTAGACCTGGCCAACAAAACAAGTCCATATACTCATCACAATGAACGTATAGGATACAGCATGAATAAACATTTTGTAGAGCAACGAGACTAAAATAAAGGATTTGACGCCAGCGTTAATGAGTGAAATTTGATTCAGGTTTCATATAATAAAAAAATTTCCAAACTTATTGGTGTCAATCTAATTCAGAAAAAAATGTAATTTAAACTTGGAAATTAAATCTTTGTTTGTAAAGCAAATTGCATTTATCACCCAGACTTAGTCTGAACTCTCCGCATCGAATCAGGCTATTGGCAGATGTGCGCACCTGAACGGAAATTTCACTATCACTATCAAACGAGTCAAGGCCACAACCGCATCTTTACAACCACCCAGAGGCAGTCTGGAGGCGGCGGTGGCCTGTGGCCATTCTCCTTGACAATCGTCAGCCCATCCGGTCGTCGGCGGTAATGGCCAAATGGCCCAGAAATCTCGGCTCTATCCCCTCAAATTGGATTTGGTTAATTGCCTAGCCAAGTCGTTGGCAATTCAGTTTTGGCATCAATTTCGATTTCAGCCACTCTCCGCCTCTGTTAATTTCTCGTAAAAGTCGTTTCGGGGCGGTCTGTGGTACAAAAATCCGTACCGAAATCCTCCAAATACTCGCACGTTTGCGTGCGACTTGTGATTTAATATGTAGCCATCAAATCGGCATGGAAGTGGGGTGGTCAGCGTCATTATTATTCGCCGCTCAGGAGGCAAATACAAGACACTCCTCTATGGTTTTGCGGCTGGCAAAAGACAATGTTTACCAAGAAACCGAAACTTTCTATCCCAGGTGCTGCGGCCGGTGGCGGCGGAGCTGGAGCAATTGGATTCTGGCGGCCAGTGGCATCTGATTACCTCATTCTCATTAAGTGCGAACACAGACGACCGCTGGCCGCCGTCCAAGCCAATCAATTGCAATGCGAGCGGTGTCAGTCACTCGAGCGCCTTGCGGCTCAAGAATGCCTCGCAAAAAGTGGACAAGCTGCGCCAATTGTTACTTTCACTGGTCAATAATGCAACGCAGGCAACAGTAGCACTAGTGGCAACAGCTTCTGCAACAACAGCTTTCGCATCTGGCGTCTGCGGCTTGGTAATTAAGACGGTCACAGCAGCGGCGGAGGTGCCTCTACTCAGTCATTCCCAGCGCAAAAATATGCAAATTGTACGCTGCTTTGAACCACACACTGCAAACGGTGCCCCGTTTAAACTCGCATAAATGCACATTTGCACTTATTCTGATTGGCATCGTTCGCCAGTGGCGCCAGGCCATGGGAGAGGTAGTCGTACCGACATCCACATCCACATCCACATCCACGATTCACTTTCGTTCGCCCGGCTTTCGTTAGGAGTCACACGCAGCTGGGAAGGCGGTCAATTGGCGGTTGCCCGCTGCTCGATATTGGCTTCATAATCCCGACGACAATGCGATTCAATTTGTTGTCGATCGAGCGCTGATCGCAGATCGCAGATCGCTGATCGCTAAGCAGTCTCCAGTCTCCCCCCCAGCGACTCTGACCCAGAAACTTTCGGTGGCATTGGCATTGGCATTGGAAGTGGCAGTCGCTGCAGGAATCGAGATTCCGGTGCAAGTTGCATGCTGCACTCTGTATGCTGCATGTACATGAGCATTAGTTTGAAAACCAGCTCGGTGTTAGCCTGCGGTTGCGAGTGCGCGATAAAAGGAGTCGCCAGCACCGCTCGGTTGCCATTTGTGACTCGTCCACTCAGCCGTGCGGCAGTACTCCGGATCGTCTCGCGGTGTTCCTACCAAAGTTCGCAATCACCAATTATGCTGCTGTGTCGCGTTGTGCTGGCCCTGCTGCTGCTGGTGCTGCTTCACTACTGCCATGCAGAGGAGGAACCACCTCCAGTGCCCTTAACGGAAACCCTGAGCAGGGCAGCGGAATCAGAATCGGGATCAGCGCGAGCCATCTCCAGCGACGCCTACATCGCCCGCAATCAGAGGCAGTGCTTCGAGACCCGCAGCCTGGTGTCCTGCATCAAGTACAAGGCCAGCAAGCTTATATGGAAGCTGGCCACCAACAGCCTGGGCTTCTTCCCCAATGAATTCGGACGCGACAGAGGCCGCTGGCTGAGAATGGTCCAGCTGGGAGAGCCGGCCAACGAGGTGGTGGTGTTCAACGACGCCAAGAGCTTAGAAGGTGGGGTCGCCGCTGCCGCAATCGAAAGTTGTTTTGGGGAAATCCGCTGCTCGGGAGCGGGATAGCAATCAGTGGCCGGAATCTGTCGGTGTGGCAAGCTCTAATTGATCACCTGCGCCTGGACAGTGTCCAAGGCACTCGTTGCTCTCTCCGCAGATAACCCACTGCGGATGTTTACGATCCCCTGCGGCTGTAAATTCATCTGAAGAATTATTGCCGCTGGCTGGCCACTTAATGTGAATATTTCTCTGTTTGCTTTGCAGGTGACAGCGAGCTGACGCTGATGTTCAAGTTCCTCAAGAGAGCCCTGGAGACCTTTGGACGCAACCACGGACTGCAGCTCTCGCTCTCCAGCGAAACTGGAGCGCGCGTAATGGACGAGTCTGGTGGGTATCACAAAAAATTGCAAATCGAACGTTGCCTAATCAAATCAAAATTTGCCCTAACTAGAGGCCCGCCTGAAGCGCAAGAAGAAGAAGTGGCTCATCATCCTTCCATTGGTCATCCTGATGAAGATTGCCCATTTGAAGATGACACTGGTGAGCATGCTGTTGACCGTACTGGGCATGAACGTGCTGCTGGTAGGCGGCGTGGGCTGGCTGATCCACTATCTGAAGTTCAAGACCATGTGCAAGATCCACCCGCACCTGGTGCAGACGCACTCGCACGTCTACGACTCGGATCCCGGAGACTACTCCCAGTTCGTGGGCAGCAGCAGCTACTCAAACTCGTACTCCCCCTACAGCTCGGGTTCGGGGGCTCCCCACGAGCTGGGCGGCAGCAGCTACAGCAAGGACTGGGCCACGAGTAAGGCCTACAACGGCTACAACTATCTGGACACGATCAGCAAGCGGATACAGTAGGGGCTCCGTGGAGCCCAACGGACTCGTGCCAGCAATAATGGAACCTAGCCAATTGATTTCCTGTCGTCGTCGTGCTTTAGTCGTAATTAGTATAGGTAATTTATTTGTATTCTAATAAAGCCGCCCATTTATTATCTTTTTTTATAATGTGCAAAATATAAAACTATCTACAATTCTTTAACCTCTAACCGGCATATGGGTTTTGCCATCTTGAAATTTCAACTCAACTAGGATCATAATAATCCTTATTTTTGGTTATTGCCAAAGGAAACCCATTAATGATGTCACACACTTAACAGATCTGCCCCGAGATATTTGCCCCACTCGCCTCTGGGTTTTAATAAGACAAACAATAACTCGTATATGCATAAAACAATTTGTTTATGGCGAAAGCAAACAAGCACTTCCCCCACAGACACCGCTGGCCAAATAGAAATATAAATAAAAAAAGCAACAAACGTGAGCTGACGGCGGACTCTCGTGTTTACCAGCGGTCTTATCAGTGCCATTGGTTTTGTTTACCAAACAATGTGGATTGGCCTTCCGAGAAGGGATTTCGGCTCGGGCGAATAACCATCAATATGTGAACCAGTCAATTTGAAAAAAAAATATAATTGGGACTAGACAAAGTTGACAAACAAATATTTATATTTATGTTTATTGGCAACTGAGCTATTAAATAGATTGCAATAAATTTATAGATAAAAACAAGGAGTGTCTGCTTGCTTAGTCTGAATGTCAGATAGTCGTCTGAGATAATTAATTTCACCATGAATTGTAGTCCAGTAATTTCTGTAGCTTCTCGTCTAAGACTCTAATTCCAAGCTGTAAACGAAACAAACACTTCCTTCTGTTGAGAACGTGAGGCGTGACTGTATGGAAAATTCACTAAGAACTCATGTTTGGTGGGTTGAGATGGAAATTACTTTTATTTTATCTCTCAATCTTTTTCTCTAGAATATTAAAAGTTCAGTAAATATGACACAGTTTTGCCTTGAGAGTTTGCTTTTCGATTAAACCTAATTAATTTCAAAAATGTTGCAAGGAGACACAAGGAACTTTGATACGGGTGACGTCTTCCTTTCTAGTTTTATCGATTCATAAGTTAAATAGAGAATTCCACGAATAGAATTTTTATTACTGCAAATACAACGAAATACATTGGCTTCCGATGGAGATTTATTTGTTATTTTTGCATTTTGTTTACGCCGAAAGCGCCCAGCCCTGCCCCTCTCTGGCCCAGCTGGCCCATCCAAATGTGTCCGAACTGCTTCGGCACTTTTTGGCCAATGTTTATCCAGTTCCTTATCAGAGGCCTGCCTTTGTTTGCGCTACAATTTGGATCGAACTCCACCAAGGAGGCAGGCAAACTATTTAACCAGCCAACTACGCAGGACCCCTGTAATCAATGGGTTTATGCCACCGCGCTACATGACCACCTAATGCCACAAAAGCCCAGTGTTTTCCGACTAACTGCCTGCTATCTCCAGCTACACATGTTAATGATTTAGTCTCGCAAATATCTGTTTGCTCTCATTTATGGCATGGAGAAGAGACAAAACAAAAGAGTGCACTTAAGTGCCGTTCAGCCAACAGCCAGATATCACATGTACACATATGTGTATAAATATTTTATAAAAATATATGTAGGTATCCAGGGATTTATGAATTTTGCAGATATGCAGGACATCCGAAGAAAGTATTGAAAAATAGCAAAGTACTAGATAGATAGATATATTATTTAAATATTAAATATTTCGTGGATTTTGAAGATCAAAAATTTTTTAACTAAATAGAATTGACAAGATATATATATATATATTGTTGGAGGGGGGCGGCTTTAAGCTGAAATGCACTCGAAATAAGAACACGGAGACTTGTCGGGGTTTTACGCGACGTGCGTCGATGTTTATTAGATTAGAAGTAAATTGGTACTGAATACAAAAGAACAAAAACTAAAGCTAGGGAGAGCGGATTAGAAGCTCTAGGACTGGAAGTCCGGAGGAAGAGGGAGAGAAAAGGAGAGCGTTCGGGATCACACTGCCTCCCGAAATTGAGCGCCTTTCTGGCGTGAACATATATTATATATAATATTCTGCTGACTACGCAAATCTGGACAGGTACCTGGGTGACTGGGAAAAATGAAATCTGACAAGTTGTGATGATAACTGCAGATGAACAGACACTTTTTATAGAATTTACCTTGGTGTTATTACATATGTAGATTATCTCGAACCTAATAAAGTTGTACTGATAAAGATCTTTATATAAACTTTATATAAACGACTTAGCATGACAAATTTTTTAGTTTCGTCAAAGTTCCTAGTATCCGTCAATGGAAAACTGAAGAAATAATACCTATTATTGATGTCAAGGGTCTTTTGGATAAACATTAAAACAAGTCTTGTTTAAAAATGTAAAAATGAAACAAATAAATTAAATCATCGCCATCTTCGGGAATGTGAAATTAATTTATCTGCTCTTTTAGCAAAATCACTCTCAAATATATATAGTACATATACATCACCCTTAAGTCCAACACTGCAATATATTCTTAAAAGAAAGTGACGTTGCGAGAATTTGATATCACTTAAATCCCAAACCCGTGACGACATATAAACAGGCATCTGGAGGAATATCACGATTTCTGGCTATGACAGCTTCACTCGTCTGTCTAGAAAGATAGAAGGCAATATAGTAATTAACCCCGCTATGTTTGAAATCTTATAAAGTTTAGTAGCTCTTCATTGCCTTTATATACTCGACAGATAAGCCAAATGTTTCGTCACAATATAAACGCTTGTCCAGATGCTGCGAGCACAGTTTCCTCGGAGATCTCAGTACCCAAGCATCAGTTACAATGCTGCCGAATTGGCTAACGGAGGAATATATCCAGAAAGCCCTTCGGTCCTTCTACAAGGACGAACAGCTTCGGGTCCTTAAACTCTGGGCCAAGCCAGCAACCGAAAAAGGCGAAAACTTTATTGGCGTAATGACTCGCATCTACGTGGAATTTGAGCCAAGAGATGGATCTGTGGAGAAGAAGTCTTACATTCTAAAGCAAGCCGTTCCGTCGGACGCTCCCCAGGCTAGGATCTTTGCAGAATACGATGTGTATAACAGGGAACTGGAAATGTATGATGTTGTCCTGCCCAAGATGTCGCAGATTCTAGAAGAGGCTGGCTTCACAGATAAGTTGATGGCAAAGGCCATTATCGTAGATCACTCACGAACCATTATGATCCTGGAGGATCTGGCTCCGCTTCGCTACACGAATGCGGACAGAGTGAAGCAGCTGGACCTGACTCACACCAAGCTCGTACTGGATATGCTGGCCAAGTTCCACGCCGCCGCCATAATCTTGAATCAACGAGAGCCAGATCTCCTGAGTCACAACTACGCGTCGCATTTCTTTTCGAGGGAAAAAGAGGGTTACGAGGAGGTCTTCATCGGCTTGTTCCGGGCTTTTATCCGGTATGTGAAGACCAAACCGAATCTGAGCAGTCGCTATGCCGCAAAGTTGGAGGACATCGTCACCAATTTAATGGATTATGCTGGCCGCTCAGTGGATGTCGAAGAGAAGGACCTGCAGACACTGGTCCACGGTGATTGCTGGACCACCAACGTCATGTACCAGTACGACGACGAGGGCAACCCCACCACTGTCCTGCCCATCGATTTTCAGTTCAGCACCTGGACATCTCCGGCCGTGGACTTGCACTACTTCTTTAGTACTTCTCTGAAGACAGACGTCAAGGAGCTGGAAACGGAACTCGTCCAGTATCATTACTACGCTTTGAAGCGGACCTTGGAAGCTCTGAATTTTAAGGGCGTGTTTCCCAGCCTGTTTGAGTACCAGCTTCAGTTTGAGAGGCGTCGATTCCTCAGTAAGTTTAATTGAATTGTGTTCTGTTTTAAATTGTTCTGAATTGTTTTCTCTTTCTTAGGTGTTGTCATAGCCAACACATTCCAACCGATAATGGTGTACGAGGGCTGCGAGGACCCAGAGTTCGTTAATCTGTACCAGGATACACCTGAGGGTGTCAAGTTCCAGGACTCCATGTATGAAAACGAGGAAATCCAGCGTAGAATCGATACCATTTTACCCATCCTTGATGCCAAGGGTTTTTTAGATGCCCATTAAGACAAGACTGCTAAGAATTAATTGAATTATTTTAATAATAATTGGGTTTTAATGCAAAGCTACTACTATTTAATGAAGATTTTTCGACTAGCTCCTCCCGAGTTCACGAGAACTTGAAACTGAGTTCTATTTCACGGGGTCGTTCATGTTTTAATACTAGATTAGATAAGATTCGCTTAATTTTAATGGCTTCTGATTTATTCTTATCAACCTTAAAGTTATTATTTAGGGGACGTTATTACTTTTATTTGTCGACAAACATTTTGTGTAGTGTAGACAAGTATCCATAACAATTATTGACAATGACTAGAGGATTTGCAATTTCACAATTGGCTTTTATAACGCCAATTCATTCGAGAACTGAGATAGACACAATTTTCCACTACAGAGCTTATCACGGCTGCACTTTAAGTTTGCCCGATAAGGTCTCAGTTTTAACAATATATAAACGTGAGTTCTGCCATCGAAGTTTTCAAAACTGTGGAACCCTGCAACGAGTGAACAATGCTGCCAAACTGGTTAACCGAGGAGTACCTGCAGCCTAGGCTAAGGACGTACTACAATGACGATCGGCTAAAGGTACTCAAAATCTGGTCCAAGGCAGCGACTGGCAAGGGAGAAAACTTCGTCGGCATCATGACTCGCATATATGTGAACTATCAGCTGGGCGATGGATCGGTTCAGGAAAAATCCTACATCGTAAAGCAGGCTCTTCCGGAGGATGTGCCGCAGGCCGAGGTTTTCTTCGAGTACGAACTCTACACCAGGGAGATGGATATGTACGAGTTTGTCCTGCCCAAAATGCAGAAACTGCTGCATGAAGCTGGAATAAGTGGAAGACTAACTGCTGACGCCATTACTGTGGATCGGGAGCACAGCACCATGATATTGGAGGACCTGGCGCCCCTTAAGTACGTCAACGCGGATCGAGTCAAGCTGTTGGATCTGCCTCACACCAAGCTGACTTTGGAAATGTTGGCAAAGTTCCATGCCGCAGGCGCGGTTCTAAAGCAGCGCCATCCAGAACTCCTAACCAAGTGCTTCTACACGCACTTTTTCTCGCGGGACAAAAAGGGCTACACGGAGGTCTATACAGGTATGTTTCGGGCTTTTTTAAGGTTCGTAAATGGTCAGCCGAATTTAAAAAAGAGCTACGGCGACAAGCTGGCGAAATTAAGCAGCCACATTATGGAGTATGGAGCTCGCGTCTTTGACGTGGAAGAAAATGAATTACAGACGCTGATCCATGGAGATTGCTGGACCACCAACGTCATGTTCCATTATGACGCAGAGGGATCTCCCCAGTCAGTTGTTGCCATAGACTTTCAGCTAGGCAGCTGCACTTCGCCGGCCGTAGACTTGCATTACTTCTTGACCACTTCGCTGAGGGAGGAGTTTAAGGATCGGGAATCCGAGCTCGTGGTGTACCATTACAATGCTCTGAAGAGAAATCTTGAGAAGTTATCCTACACGGGATTGATACCCAGCCTTCAGGAGTACCAGGTTCAGTTTGAACGCCGTCGTTTTATGAGTAAGTCAATAGCTTTTAAGAGAGTATATATCGATTTTGTAACAACGTTTTCATTTTAAGGTCTCCTTGCGAATCTCTTCAAGCCCATCATGATTTACAATGGCAGTGAGGAAACCTCGGACTTCTCAAGCCTTTACAAGGAAACTCCAGAGGGCATTCGGTACCAAAACGCGGTCTACGATAGTGACGTTGTTCTCAGAAATACCACAAATTTGTTAGCTCTACTCGATTCCAAGAAGCTTTTAGATATTCAAAAGTAGATCAATTCCCTAATTAAGTAATTATTAGTACAAGAAAAATTAATTGTTTTTACATATTACTTAAAATACAAATGCTGTGTTTTGAAAACAAACTTAGATACTATTTCCTTAAGTATTGAAGGTTGCCTGATTGCAAACAATAAAGATTATTTCCTAGATATTTATATAAGTTTAGTTTATATCTGAAGAGCCCCTACGAGATACGCTATCAGCAGGTACCGGGTAATTTCAAAACAATACTATCTTTTATAACGCGATTAATTTTGTTTCGTCACTTCGGAAGAGGTGACTAGGGAATGTTGATGAGTTCTACCCTCGATAACAGACAATTCAATTCCCAGTGACTCAAGAGCCAAGGCAGACTGAATAGAAGCTCACTGCGATTTTTCGGTAATTCCTGGCCCAATGTGCGAAGCTTTTCCACCCCCAGCTTCAGTGATAAGAAAGCTCGCACAGCTGATGGCCCAAAACAAAGTCGCAGGCGAAGGTCCATGGCCTGCGGACGAAGTGCGGTGCCGTCAGTCGCGATTTGGGTGCCACGCGGCGTATACGCAACGCGCAACGTGCCACAGGCAACACCAGGTACGAGCGGCGCGGTTTAAAGACAAGGCTATATAAGCAGGGGATGCGCACCAAAAGCCAACAGATGGTCGCTGACTGTGCACGCGTGTGGTTATCGGAGATCAGTAAACAGCCAAACCAAACACTCGAACTTATTGTAATAAAAAGGCGTGAATAAGCGAAACAATCAAAATGCGGCCGCATATTTATTCAGAATTTTGAAGCGGCAAAACGCTAATGCCAAAAAACCGTGGGATCTACACGGAATTCGGATTTCTGAGAGGTATGCTGCCCTCGACATAGTGCCTTGTGTTTGTTTTTCCAACGATGTGCCGCCATTAAATTGTTGAAGGCGTGAAATTTTCGCACGGGCCGCCGGAGTCTCGACATTTACGAGTATTCGTGCTCTGTGCCGTAAGTGGTCCGCGGAAATTCGCTAATAGCTTGCCGGACGCCTCCTCGCTGTGTGTATTTATTATGATTATTTCCCCGCTACCGCGCTCCAATGAGTTGCAAATGCAAGTTGCGAATTAATCGAAAGAAAATATTATTTCGCCGCGAGTCTCCCGGGAAAACGGATCTTTCGAGTCCGTAATGCCAAGTGACGTGAGCGGTCAGAGAGCAAAAATTATAATAATATTCCGAAACTACTGAGGCAACTCGGTGTGTTTCAGTGGTAGTAAATACAAAATTAATACCGAATCTGCAACGCGCGTAATGAGATGTGAACGTGTTGCAGTTAAACCCAACCGAACTGCAATTATCTTAATGGGAATATTAATGGACTCTGAATAATAGAGCAAAAGCTATGTGTACTGTATGGACGGACGGACGAGCATTAATGATAAAATATTGACAAGAATATTGTGGCAATTATAACTATCATTGTGTGAATGATTAACAATGTCCAGTCAATATGTAAACACAAATTAAAGGATACTAAGGCGTAGCTTGAACTCGATTACTTTGGATATTTAAAAATTAATTAATGGACTAAACTAAAGCTGCTAATGGCCTTAAATGATTTGTTTTGGTGTTCTTTATCAGTGTTTTAAAATTAAATTTTTAATATTGAATAAAAAAAATAATTTTAAAAATGTATTAAAATAAAAAAAATCCAAAATCCTAAAGTTTTCCAATTGCTTAAATCTAGTTTAGTAAATTCCTGCTTCAAGTTTGTGAATTGTATATTTTTAAAAATTAATATAAATACAATACACAAACCTTAATAAGTTTCTTCATTCTTTAATATTTTTTCCACAATAATATTTAGTAACTAATGAAACGGAGACTTGTTTAATATTTAATTACCTTAAAATCTTTAAAAACCGATACTTTTTGTAATATTTAAAATCAAGTATATTAAATTCCAAGGATATCCGATAAAGATAGATACTTAAGCATTACTTTAAAGGCAAACATTTGTTATAATATAAAATAATCACTTTTAGTAAATCCTTGAAATTACTGCTGTGCCAAGTTTTTCCGTTTATCCCTTCAATCTCAATATAAGGACACACTTTAATAAAGCTCAAGTAAGCTTCATAAGGCCTTGAGAGTTGACTCTTTGGGTGGCTCAGACAATTCATAAGAACAAGAGCAACAGGGTTAACTGATGTATAAGCACATCCATGCAATCAGCTCTGGAATATTTTGGCAAGTCATGCAAAACTGCAGTCACCCGAAGGCGCTTGCGAAGTACAACAATGTTGTGCAAACTTTTCTCGCTCGAGGCTTGTGTTCTTGCTGCATCAAGGATTAAGCTGTGCCCCAGCTTCGGAGAATCTTGAGCATTATAATTAAGTTGAGTCAACTGACAGCCAATTTTGCAGTTGTTAGCTGAAAATGGAAAGCTGCAATACAAAGAAATATTGTCAGCTCTTGTCATTAGCTAGCGAAGCCGAAGCGTATCCTTTAAATTGCAGAACAAAACATTGCATTAGCAAACTATGTTTTTATGATTTCAAGGCGGACGGAACAACAAGGACAATCCCATGAGTGCAATCCAATTCGGAAGCTAAATGAGCAACTGTAGCGTCCGAAGAACTGAAAGTCACTCGCAGACGCACGAACAACAACCAACGGCCAGGAAGACAATACAATATATACTATAGGCGCAGATCCAGAGGCAGAGGAGAGTGCCGGAACGATGGTGAGTGTAATTGCAATATAAATACTTAAAATGCGCCGTCCCACGAAGCCATTTCGGAGTAGATGTCAAACGGAACGAAATTACTTTGTTCATAAAATGAAAAAGTTTGTTCTTGAGTTTGTGCTTGAGGAAATCTGTCTGGCTTTGCCATATGGCCAAGGAAACCCCCATTTATTTGACATTTGCAGAGCCAGATTGGTGGCGGAGGATGCACAATACGTTCACAAATTACAAAATAAGGCTCATTGCTGGTTTGGCAATTTAAGAAATTCGGAGAAGGCTTGAAAGTCGTGCGAAAAAACATATCAATTTACATATTAATTGCTATCCTGGTTACGCAATCGTATTGCAATTTTGTGAGCCACAGATTTGTATTTTTAGCCAAAACGACACCCAAGCACTCGGTGGCTTTCCTTTGACACCCAAGAAGTGTTAAGCTGTAGTCAGAACATGATTAAATGGCAAAGGACTCGTGTCAGCGGATTGTGTTCGCCCCTTAAGGAGCTTAGTTGATTAATTCACTAGGAAACAAGTTGTGCCGCTCCGACAGATGTTTCAGCTTAAGGCATATGAATAAATTTGAGTTGACCAATGGAACAGATGAGCCAATCCTAGCAACCGACTCGCAGCTTCTTTTTGTCCATTCGAAATTGCCTACAATTAATAAAGTAAATGTCCTGCGTGCAGGAATAAAGGGTGCCAGGGACAGCCAATTACAAATTGATAAATTCGTTAGCCGGCAGGGGCCACAAAGAGTGTGTTTGCGAGTGGCAAACAAATCGCACAAACGGCAATCAAATTCGTCTTGTTGTGGGCGAAACGGGAAACCATCGAGCAAATAAATCACAAAAATAGCTGAGTCAAAATGCCAGCAGGCAACTGCCGTTCGAGTTTTCCGAGCCTGTTCGGAAAATGGCCTGGCATTTAAAATCTTTGTCATGTTCCGCTTATCCAGTGAGGCGAAAACTCGGTTGGAGAAAACACGCTGGAAGCACTGGCACATTCCACAAAATTATACGAAATCTGTGACAACTGCCGATAACTTGAGGCTACTTTACATAATTCCCTTGTCACTTACTTTTTTCTTCTGTCTCAATTGAACCGAGAAAGCAGCATTTCAATGGGTTTCCATAGCTTGGCGGAAAACGACAAGGAAATTCAATTTCCACCTTGGCAAGTCAATTCCTCCCCAGTCGTGTACGGACTGTGATTGAAACTTCTGCGACAAATTGATGATCAGCCCTGGGGCTTCCACTTGCTAGGAGTTTCATTGCTCAAACTTTTTTATTATGTGCGTAGGTGGAAGGAGTCCAGTCCTTAACTGATTTTAGTTGATACAAACTGTCCTGGCCACTGGCCACTGTGCTGTCTGCAGAGTTTTCGTTTGAAGCAGGCCAACTTCTTGGGGCTCCCATGTTTGAGTTGGCCGAGCAAATATTAGTCAATTAACTGCCGGGCAACTTGAAATTAAATTTCCATGGCAACTTTGTCTTCGGTTTATTTAGGTCCCGGCGCCTCTAGCTCCCTGCTTGCCCGCCCTTTCCCCTGTGGAGTTAATCCCCTGATTGGCGAGATTTATTAGCGCCTCATTTATCGCAGCTGTCAGTGGTAATGCATACCTTTAGGCGCCCCAATAAGTCTGAATCGCCCACCTTCGTCTCGTGCCATCCGCTTTTATCGATACTGACAAGTGCGCAGCCATTCGGCGCATAAAATTACACAATTATTTTTAGCAAATGTCGTCATTTATAACCCGACTTTGTATTGGTATCTGTATCCGATGGCCGTCCCTCGACGGCAGCCAGTTCAGGAGATATGCCAGCCCATCAAGCACACATTACACTTACACCCTGGGAACGGAAATCGGCATTTTTGACTTTTTTCCAATTAAGTGCATGTCTCTCCCTGATGTTCTGCATAAATCATAGCCATGATGCATGAATATTTATGTGATTTAGGGTGCAAAGGGAAGCACCTGCAAACTTGGATCAAGCACTGAAGCAAATGAGATATCACATGGTAAACGTAATCGAAAATGAAAGGACTGGCCAACCTTTTAAAGTCAAAACAATATGAAAGATTGAACCTTTGTAGGAGCCACTAGCAAGGCAGATAACTTGTCCTTTGAGCCACCGCCATTGTCTGTGGCCAGCAAGGCATTAAAAAGCGAATACTAGGGGCATATATTTCGAACTTTTTATCCACCTATAAGATCTCAGTTAAATTATTAAAATACAACACTGGAAAAATAGTTTACTATTTTACACATCAAGCATTTTAGATTTCTTAAAGCACTATTTAACATAATAACATATTTAAATATCAATAGAAGCAATCTACTATAAGATCCCATCTTTTATTAATATCTATAAAGTGGAATTGCATTGCCGACTTTCAATTCCATTTCCCGCAGTGCAGACTAGAAACAGAAGACAGAGCAACTTTCATTCATGTCGAATACCCATAGAATCCTTTGGTGCAGGGCCACCTACTGGCACCGAGAAAACTTTTGCGTACGATTATTGCCCCGTATTTTTAGGAGGCCCCATAAACCACTAGAATGGCCTTTCACAGCCAGCTGAAATGTGTGTGGCGTGTGCGGCAAGCCAATCTCATAAATCATACGTGATGTGGCACGCGAAGTTTCTCCCATTCTAGTGTTCGGTTCCCCTGACAATGGGGTGTTTGCGCTAAGGATTTCCAAAATAATGAGCCACTCTTCTTTGCTCCCTCTGTTTTGGCAGATAATCAGCTTGAATCAGACGGAATCCGTGCCCCTGGCTGCTGGGGACAGGCTGAGTGGATTTGCCGGCGGCGGCGACAACAGTGTCCGCTATCTCGACGACCGACATCCCCTGGATTACCTGGACTTGGGCTCAGTGGTGGGCACCGTCCACGCCGTCATCAACGCCACCGCCACCAACATGTCGGAGCTAAATGAGACAGGGAGCCGGCCGCTGGATCCGGTCCTCATCGATAGATACCTGAGCAACCGGGCTGTGGACAGTCCCTGGTACCACATGCTCATCACCATGTACGGCGTGCTAATCCTGTTCGGGGCCCTGGGCAATACTCTGGTGGTCATTGCCGTGGTCCGCAAGCCCATAATGCGCACCGCCCGCAACCTTTTCATCCTGAACCTGGCCATCTCGGGTGAGTGCTCCGCGGACCTCGAGGGCCCAAAAGGAAATCTGTGCCTCATCCGCGTGGCTTTTCAGATTTACTCCTCTGCCTGGTTACCATGCCGCTGACCCTAATGGAGATCCTATCCAAATACTGGCCCTATGGGTCCTGCTCCATCCTGTGCAAAACGATTGCCATGCTGCAGGCACTTTGCATTTTCGTGTCGACAATATCCATAACGGCCATCGCCTTCGACCGGTATCAGGTTAGTCCTTTTACGATTTTTCGGGCCTTGTTTCGGGCCCATATTAGCATGTAAATGGGGCCAATCGAATGGGGCAAGTCATGTCCCAGTATTAATGAGGTAAATGGCTTCAATTTGTAACCATTAAATTGGACGTTGAGGGAAAATCGATGGGCTCTGAATAAATATTTGGCAATTCCCGGAATGCTTAACCCACTATTAAAGTCATAATTAGGGCGAGTGATAAGCATCAAATTACTCAAATAATAATAATAAAAATGGTATTAAAGACATTTCTATGAAATACTTTAATTAGTGGGTCAACATTAAAATTAAGAGTTACTCCAGCAAGAATACAGTTTGCCTGAAGCTTTTAATATAACTTTTGATATAATCAAGTGAAAGTCCATTAATTATTTTGGTTTCTAGAGAAGTAAAAAGTTTGTAGATCCAAAGATAAATAAGATAATTGAGGGACTATGTCATTTTTATTAAGACTTAAGAAAGTAAGTTTACCAGAAATATTTTGTGTGTTCTATAGAAGAAATAAAATACAATACGAACTAGTAAATTTAACTTTTAATACTGTTTTAGTAGTTTAGAGAATAAATATCTCTCTTTTCCCCACCAACCAAGTTTCTCTCCAACTTCTTTCTACGATTCCTTGCAGGTGATCGTGTATCCCACACGGGACAGCCTGCAGTTCGTGGGAGCAGTGACAATCCTGGCCTGCATCTGGGCACTGGCCCTCCTGCTGGCCTCGCCGCTGTTCATCTACAAGGAGATGATCAACACAGAGACACCGCAGCTGCTACAACAGATCGGGCTGCAGGACAGGATCCCCTACTGCATCGAGGACTGGCCGAGCAGCAACGGGCGCTTCTACTACTCGATTTTCTCGCTGTGCGTGCAGTATCTGGTGCCGATTCTGATCGTCTCCGTCGCCTATTTTGGGATTTACAACAAGCTGAAGAGCCGCATCACCGTGGTGGCTGTGCAGGCCTCCTCCGCGCAGCGCAAGGTGGAACGCGGCCGGCGGATGAAGCGCACCAACTGCCTGCTCATCAGCATCGCCATCATCTTCGGCGTCTCCTGGCTGCCGCTGAACTTTTTCAACCTGTACGCAGACATGCAGCGGCCGGTGATGACGCAGAAAATGCTGGTGGCCTACGCCGTCTGCCACATGATCGGCATGAGCTCGGCCTGCTCCAACCCGCTGCTCTACGGCTGGCTCAACGACAACTTCCGTAAAGAATTTCAAGAACTGCTCTGCCGTTGCTCAGAACCCACTAATGTTGCTCTTAACGGTCACACGACAGGCTGCAACGTCCAGGCGGCGGCGGCCCGTCGACGTCGCAAGTTGGGCACCGATCTCTCCAAAGGCGAGCTCAAGCTGCTCGGCCAAAGCGGCGCCCAGTCCGGGGCCCCCGGCGGCGCTGGCGGCGGTAGTATGGCGGCCACCGACTTCATGACCGGCCACCAGGAGTGCGGACTGCGCAGCGCCATAACCGAGTCGATGGCGCTCACGGAAAATCCCATGCCCTCGGAGGTCACCCAGCTGATGCCGCGGTAAAGAACGAAGAGAACGTAGCCCTAAGCTCCAGGTCCAGGGTCCTGCATGTCGCCTCTCCAAAGGCTCGGATCCTTTGTGTACCGCAGGGAAACACGTCCTCTGTGCACGCTCGTCGGGCTGATTGGATTTGCATGCTCCAAGCATCGATGCGCCGCTACTGTCCTTCTTTCTATTTCAATTGTTCCAACTGCGACTGCAATTTCAAGTGCACACTGAGGGAAAAGCCCACTAGTAAACTAGATTGATTTGGGGTTATTCCAACAATTTACAAATAACTTTTTCTTACTGATTCCTTAAGCTATCTTCCCTATATTCTTTATTCACTCTTAATGAAGGAATGTAATGTAATAGAAGAACTTCTCTATTTGTTGGGCTTTTCCTTTTGGGTGCTTGAAACATTGTTCGCCTTGTTTGGCTATGATTTAAGAACACAATTTTCTCAGTGTATGCATGCGCCTCACAGTTCCCTTTGTCGTCGCCTGACAGGTTGTAGCTCTTGTCGTTGCCGTGTTGTGACATAATTTGCGCCGAGCATCGCCCATCGATTATGACCCTGCATTTTGTCGCACATTTTCAGTTTGGAACAGTACTAAGTCGGCCAGGAACCCTGGAGCAGCGGGCGGCGGGAGCGGCGTTCGAGTGATGCGACCTGCGACTCGTTCTTAGAATTTACATTAAACACATATTGTCCAGTGATCCAAAGCCAAGCTGAGTTACACTTAAATTAAGACGCGCCCCGAGGAACAGAAATATGTATCTCATCTCATCGCCCATCATCCATTACCGGACTAAGTCTAATGCCTTTTTTAGTTTGCTCACTTCAGTATCGAATGCCGGAAAGTAATTGATTGAGCCCCCAATTGAATTTCGGGTATTTGATAAGTCGAGTACAGTGAAGACTTTGATTAGTTCCCCGTGAACAGTTCCTAGGAAATGCTTTCGTTTCGCTTTCTCACATAGCTCTTTTTTTCCTGTTATCGTATGTATAAGCTGAGGATTAGCCGTAATTGATGTTCTGTTTGCTCTTCTCTTAAACTAGGTTAGTCCATAACTATGTATAAGCCGAAACTTGAAAATAAATCTCAGTCCAAACTGCTATAAATAAATTAGAAAAGTTTTAGTGCTCGCCAGTGGCAAGCTCTACACAAAGCTAAATAATATTTTAATAAATGTTGTTTACAAAATCCTACAAAATTAAAGTGATTTAATTGGAGACTGCTCAGAGTTTCATTAATACCAAATGAGAGTTCACTTAGAGTGTCAGCTATGGAAGTCTAATGGAAGTACTGCTTAAACTCAATTGCTGAAGGACATCTACACGGATATATTCAGCTTCAAACTAAATAAATAATTGACAACCAAAGTTTATTAGCAAAGAAGGTAAATTAATTGCTGTAAACATAGAAATAGAGTGGCAATCAATCAATATGTTTGAATTTAATCAACGCTTAACTAAACAAACGTAAGTACGGCTACTTCTGAGTGTTTCTGTGCTGATTTTATGTCTGCAAAAAACAGAATTGTGCTTATTCTTTAGAATGTGTGCCAGATAGAAGGACATTGCTTTTACGGGTTTAACAACCGCAACCATAAAAAGCTGCTGACCTGCCCAACACTTAACCCTTGACACTTTTGTGGGTCCGAGACACTCAAGCAGCCGCATCATAAAAGCCTACGACCCATAAAAATAGCGTATACGCCACCGAACTGTGAATATGCCGTCTATATATAGACGCACGCATACGGAAGTGTACAGAATATCACAGATAATTTAGCTCAAAATGGAACAAAATAAAGACACCAGGCCTCGGAAACTTTATTTTGGACCCCAGACTGGGCACTTTCGAGTCATCTAATAACAAACTCATTATTTCTTTGCAGATGGGCGTCAGGCGAGGAAAATTAGTATATGATTTCAATTCAATTAGTGCCTACGCCACACCTCAGGCGAAAGGTCAGCCAGTGTGCCATCTTGCCGTATATATTCGCAGCTCAGTTCACAGTTCGCCGACGTGCGGCTGACCGCAGCGGACTGTGAATTATGTATGTGTCACACAGAAAGTGAAATGTTCCCACCAGGCAGCACGGAAAATGAAACAAAAAATAAAATAAACTAATTAAAAATTTCTTTGAGGAATGCGTGATGCGATAGGTGAGGCGGCTTACCAGCTCTTGGCTGCTGGACAGCTGGACTGCTGGCCTGCTGTAAAACTGTCAACGGTCGGGGCATTTGGCGGTTTGTTTTGACGGCCAGTAACGGTCTTATGCACTTGCGGCTTGTGAAAGTGTTGTTTGCCTTACTTTTTGTCACTGCCGCACCTTCCGCTCCCCGCATCATCATCAGCGCCATCAGCACTAGCATCATAGGGTGCTGATTACGAAAGCCCATTTCACTTTCTTCTCGGCCAGATTGCGCAATGCTAACAAAAGCATTCTGGGAGCGAGTGTGCCATTCAAAATCGATGGAGTCGCCGGCTAAAAACATTTTACGGAACCGGCGTGAGCTGGCAATTAGCATATTTATGAGTAAAAGTGAAATTAATGACTGGAATAAAATGCAAAGCAAAGGTTCGCAAATATTGACAGCAGCAGCCGAGGCATTTTTGTGGCAAACCGAAGGCCCTCTCTTGTGGAAGCGTCGACGCATACCAATCAGATTCGAATTGTGCACCAAAAGAAAAATCTTTCTCAAGCTGAATGGTCTATAATGAAAAATATAACTGATTAAATATATTTTTATTGTCTGCCTTTAAGGCCAAATACCCAATAAGTAAACAAATAAAAATGTTAAAATACCAAAGCTGAAGAGGCATAAATATTCTTGTTAACAAATCATTTTCTCTGTGTAGTTAAAGCCCAAGATTTAACATAATAGTTTGCAAGGTTCAGGGCACTTATCTCTCCCTGGCTGCTGTTGGACATATGTCAGTTGCCAATGATGGAGGATTTCAGACATATATTTGAGGGCTTTCTTTGACATCTTTCGCAGCTTTTTTTAATAGGCGCTAAATGAATTCGCTTCGAGCACTTTCTCGTGGCCAATAGACAGATTGGGGCTTGGGTGTTCGCCAATAATTCAGCCATTGTCTACGCAAAGAAGCTGGCCCCGATTTGCGCTGGGCTTTTAGAAAACATTACTGGTTGCCATTGTTGCCGGAGGTTGGTTGCATTGAGAGCGGTTATCGATTTTGCGGTCTCATAAACTGGCTTTCGTTTCGTTTTGGCTTTTGAGCTTCTCAGTGGCTCACTGGTTCAGTGGTTCGGGGGTTTGGTGGCCTGAAGTTTGCTGCCTCGGTGGGGTGGGGCGTTTCCGCTTGTTAGCCACAAGTCAATGGCAAAGTTTGTCACCAGAAATTAATAACAATGTGACGCTCAGTTGGCCAATTCTTAACGACGACTTTCTCATGCGTAAACCGGCCAACAAAACCCGTTCGTCGATCGAAATAAGTAAGTGAAAATCTGCTCACACTTAACGCAGCCGAACTAGTCCGGCTTAAATATTTATAGAAATCGAAAATGCTCCGCAGATGTGTGCAAATGCCTGATGCATGTTGCATGTAGCCTCGGTGCACTGCATCCCTAATCTTGTAATCCCCGGCGACAATGCCGCTAACAACATGTGTGCTGTATACAAAAGCTCTTATTGGTTGTACAAAAAGGCCAAAGTGGGTGGACACCAACCAGAAAGATGGGAGGATGTCCTGCTTTATTCATGAGAAAATTTAGAGCTTGTCCATGGAGAGTTAGTGCTTTACACGAACACTTTAATTTATACATAGTAGTTTATTTTAAACAATATGAGATTTACTATGGTCCTCAAATGCAATTATTTTTATTATTTTGAAACTCCACTTAGTTTAGCAATTGGCCATATTTGTTAGTTTTAATGGAGCACAAATTATGTAGGTGACCATGGATTTTCAAAAACTTTAACTGACGCCTCTGGCGCGCAAAAACTTCAAACAAAAACTAAAGTAAAACAAATTAAATAAAGTTTTGTGGCAACTGTTGGCCAAGTTTTTGCAACAGAGTTCCCCGCAGCTTCCCACTTGGGGCAAACAAAATCGAAAGTCCGACTAAATCACCGACTGGCTGAGTGACTAAGTGACCGCTTTCCGTTAGTATTCGATTTCGTCCCATGACATGGCGTATATCCAGCGATTCATAATATTTATATACATATATATTCATATACGAAATGGCCAAGCAATTTCACGGGGACAGGGTTATTTTTATTACATTTTCTTTGCTGCCCGGAGAGCCACCGTTTTCATTAGCGACTAATTTTCCGATTGGCTAGAGAAAATTACACTGAAACGAGCTGTCAAGAGCTTGATTTTAATAAATAAAATTAAATTTAAAAAAATGTAAAAATGTATTTATTGTAATACAACGTTATTTTCTTAAGTTCAATGGCTCTTTTGTAGATTTAGCACTTAAGCCTTAGCATTAAAATATTATGTGAAATCTATACATTTCATCAGATGGTAAATATTATGGTTATTTTAATGTAATAATTAATAATTTATTTTTTTAAGTATTTGTCGTCTGGTTCACCAGCTGTTCGCCTTTGACTTCAGCCACAAGACTCGGCGCTTGTGGCTCTCTCTTAAGCCACGGCGCTCTTAAGCTTCGCTAGCTGCTCGGCCGGCTTACGTGCCGCTACGTAAGGCCTTACGGAAAGCGAAGCGATCAAACTGGTTGATCGCACCCGCCGAGAGCCGTTCGCTGGCTTTCGCCCGGCAGTCGAAATCATCGCGAGCTACGCGGCAGACGCAAGCGCACGAGAAAGCCGGGACAAGACAGTGGTTAAAGAGCGGTCTCTGGGGCCCCGTGATTAAGATAACTGCCAAAATATATGGGCAATCGGTGGCGTGTGCTGCACTATATTTAATCGGGATCGGGCATTGTGTGTGGCGTCCAGTGGACTTTGGTGCAGTTAGAGTGAAACGAGCGGCGGCAGTTGCATTGACAAAGGAAGTGAGCAAAGTGAGTGAACGGGTTTCGGCCAGCATTTTCACCTGGCCAAAACGGAGAGCCGTCTCTGCAGCGCGGCGGCAGTGAATGCAGTTCCCGATTTCGAAATACACAGAAACGAAACGAATCGAGGCGAAAGTCTCTGGCGAGGAAAGTTCTTCGGCGAATGCGAAAATCGAGTCGTGTGGAAATCAAATTGAATTAAGCTAAGAAGACACCAACACTCCCGAAGGAATTACGCAGGGGCAGGTAAATTGAGTTGTAATTGATGAGCCCCAGTGAGTGGCATCGTTAATCATCGCAGAGATGCTCAATACAGCTTCTTATTCACGAGCTTTAATTTGGACAATTAATGAGCAAGGGCCAGGCGGCCAGCGACAAGACAAAAAGAAACCGATTGTTAACATTTCACTGTCGACACTGTTGTTGCTGCTTAGGTCCATTCATTTCCCGTTCGTTCGCATTTCTATGTGGTATCTCGGTATCTTTGTGCCTCACACTGTGTGGGCCAACTTAGTGGTTGGCCACTGCCACAGCGCTGCTCCGTAATTAATTGTCGAGAGGTGTTACGTAAGCCAAACGAACAGCTGGCCTACCCCAACTGGCCAAAAGGGAATCGGCAGCGTCTTCCCAGCTCTCGGCCGGCAATCGAAGCGTCGCCAAATGTTTAACGATACTTTCTTTTTTCGGCTCACAGCGCGTAAAAATGCGTCGAAGAAAGCCCTCCTCGTCTCAGTCGATCAACTGCAAAATTATGAAAATGATACATGCGGAGGAGTGGAGTACACAGACAGAAATGATACCTTTTAAAGCGCTGTTTACAGTTGCCAAATGAAAGCAAGAAAAATCGGAAAAATCTACGATTTTCTTTCATTCCATACTGTGATTGTGTCTGCCAAGAATCCAGAGAAAGAAATGAATTCTGGAAATTAAGATATAAATTCTCTTAAATTCATAAATAATTCAGATTCTGTTTTTGAATCTCTTAACGAGTCCGATCCGCTCTTTTCCTGTGCAAATATCATTGCCTTTTATTGTGCTCTGCACACATATTAATTTCAAGTGAGCCGTGGAATTGTGGTTAGTGGTGCAGTTGAGATGCGTGTAGATCTGTGGGGAGTGGGGCCACATCCTTGTGAGTCATGTGTGTTTCCGAGTTGCTCTCCACTTCCCAGACTCGCACTTTCATTTTGCCAGCTTTTAAATCCCGTTGGCCACAGAGATGCTGAAGAAGCAACTTTCTTGTCGAGAGCACTCGCCCCATCATCCAGCCGACAGCTGCAGATGCAGGCCGCTCTTGGGGTTAGTTTCCATATGGTAGTGCTGTCGCCCCGACCGACATCCTCGCAAGTTGTTAGATGGTTTCACGGCCACTTGGGCCCCGAATTGATGTGTTTGTGAATTAAATGTCATTTGAGGAAATTTACTGAGGGCAGCGATTGCATCACTGCGACTGTGAGCGATTTTAATTTGGGTTTACGGCACCGACTTAATGACACGAATGCCAGCAGACTTTCTAAAGCCCAGCGAATCAGCTGGGCCAAAAGCAAACAGCTCAGGTGCTAGGCACGCATGTAAATCACTCAATTCAAGTGAGCGCAAGTCGGGGAGTGACAACAACGCCCCGTAAAACAATCAGCGCCTAATGGGCCGCTAACATTCCGGCCAAATTGGTGGCTAATTGGCGAAAACAACATTCCATTTGACGCAATCCGGAGAGATTCGATTGCACTGCCCGCCGTTCGAGGGTTCGGCAGAAACCGAAAGTCCTACGCGGGAATCGATTAAAGCCATTCCAATCCAAAAAGGTCGTGACCAAGCCAAGTTACTCACGTAGCAGCCATTATTCCGGGTGGAGTGAGAGCAGTTAAGTCGACATAACAGCTCGTTGAAGCCGCGAGAACGTGGCTGAATGTTTGACTTGAAGCTCTCTCACACATTAAAGTGCTTAGAACGGAAAATGTGCTTGCAATCAATATGGTTAGGAAGATTCTATGAGCTTTACGACATCGATGATGCTTGGTTGGGGTGTTTGGGGGAATGGTTGCTTTCACAGGCCCCAAACTGTCTGTACATTGACAGACTTGTCTTGAAAGTTTGGTAGTAAAGTTTGAAAGGTGTTTGACTTCTTAGACAGTCTTTGGCTTTGTAAACAGAATTTTGTGTGAATTTTTGAACATGAAATGTATACCTGACTCTAACACCTTTTAGTTTTCTTTTAAACAAACTAAAACAAAGCAGATAAGCAACGGTTCAAATGAAAATAATATTTACTTACCAATTCCTTTTGTCTGCACACTTACTTAAAGCCTTTTCTACTAACTTTTTCAACTATCTTGAACCCAGCCAGACTTTAAGCGGAAGCTGACCTTTGCTGCCATGATAATCCATTTATTAGGCAGCGGAGCAGGGTATCTGTGGGTCAGTGCACCTGTGTTCACGCCACTACAGATGCCCAAATGGCTCTCGGCCAACTTGTTCTTGGCCTCTTTGGTGCTGGAGTCGCAGTTAACAGTTATGTCACATACTTACTGTTACGATGCAGCCAGCATGGCGCGTTTACGAGCGTTTTCGACCGTTAGTGAACGCCGTTTGTCAACCAGCCTCACTCCCAAACTGGTTGGCATTGTCTAACTTTAGTACTTGGTGGCTTCGCAGGTCTTTCGGCGTGTCGCAAACGATGATGGCCAGCTTATTAGCCCCGTGACCCCCGGATCCCCAATGTGGAGCATGTGCGTCTGGGACATCGGCTTGCATTAGATCAAAGGGGCGTGGATGTCAGAACTCGGCAAACTTTTGTGACTTAATTGGTAAACTTCGTTTCGGATGGGCGCCGCTGCACGGCAAGCGGAGAATAGAAAATGGAAAACAGAAAAGACGGGCTGAGAGCGAGCTTGATAGGAGGCGGGGGGCAGAAATCTGATTAAATGCTGCTTTGGCGAAAAGTTTGCCTCAACTATATCAGAGCGGAATATTAGAGCATGAAGGTAGACCGAGCACAAACTATAACTAAGCGCAGTCGAGAACGGGTGTGCGGTGTGGTGCAAAGGGCTGTGATAGAGGTTCTAATTGTAATGTTGGAAACTAATTTGCATGACGCCATTGCCATGACCCCGAATAATTAATGCCGGGAGTGCGTAAAGCTTAAATCGCCTGATGAAATATTTAGACAGCCCCCCAGCAGCTGCACAAAGGAATGTTCCCCGAGCCGATGATAAATGAAGTTCCCTAATGGCTTGGCAACGATCTTTATGTTTCCATTAGAGGGTGGAGTTATTAGCTTACTGTCAGCTCAAATCCCCAGATGCATCTGAAGGCACAAACAAAGCGAGCTAAGCGGTTTTGTGGATCAAAACAACAGAAAACGCAGCCTGTCATGGGAAATTTTCCCATTTCCCCAGCACTTGAGTAAAAGCAGCCATCTTCAGTCAGTCAGTCAGTCAGACGTTGTGAGCTTGACTAGTTGCCTTCATTCAGTTTCTTATAAAGTTCTTTGAAGTGCGAGCTATTATTCAGAGTGAATAGGTATTTATGGGAGTCCATAAATTGTAATTATTTTTCTGAAAAACTTAATTACCAACGGAATATATCCCTGTGCAGGACAGCTAGTCTTGCTTTAATGTGCGCTTCCTTTTATATGGTGAGAGCGATGCCAGTGCATTTTCTTAATTACTTAATTTACTCTCCTGCTTTTCTTTGCCTTTAAAATTACCTGCGAGTGAAGGCTTCAATGCATTTTGATTGGCAGCAAAGGAGCTGAGTAATCTGGTGTTCCGTGATGGTTCCTGCGACCCCCGATTCTTCAGTACCGGATAATTACTTCGGAAAATTCTTAATAGCTGCCAACATGTGTTTTTCAATTAAGTTTACAGTCGACTGCAGTCGACTCATTAGGTTTGCTGGAGGCAAACAAGAATTTCTCCAATTCGCCTTCTGCAGTCCAATTGTTAAGAGCAATTTATGGCTTGCTGCTGCCAACAAACTCAGTTCTGTAATAGTTTTACCGCGGCATACCTCTCGTTCGTCTGTGGAAAAACGAAAGTGAAAATGCAACACGAAAATAACGTGATCTGGGCTGAAGTTGGGAGTCTTGAGGGTAGCGCCAACGCATCTGAAACGCCTGCGATGTGTAAACACAAACAAAACTGTGTACATTTTCACTTTTACCCGGCGGAGCTTTCCGCAGCCTCAAAGCGCTCAGCGGGCGTGGACGGAATATAACGTATACGTACTGTGTACAGCTTATGGCGTCCGGTGTAGGGGGAACGGTATAGCATATAGCGTGCGGCGTGTCACAAAACGAATGCGACGAATGGCGAAGGCAAATAAAAAGTTGGCGACGTGCTTTGTGTGCCGAAAAGAGGCTGTTTCAAAAGGGGAGATGGCAGCGGCATGGGGGCGGTTGTCGGGGGGTTTGCCGGGCACGAGCCCCTCAAATTGAGATACCCATCAAATGGGTAACAGCAAATCATTCGCCTTGCTCCGGCTGATTAGCAACGGGCCTGAAAGCAAACAACTTGGTTTTAAGTGCACTTTGAGAAATTATCCGAAATCAGATAGCTGACTTGAGTGTGCCAATTGTTTCGGTATTTTTTAACAAGAAAATGATATAGCCATGTTAATGGATCCAATAGGGGGAATACATCCAAATTGGTAGTTAGCTGAGGATATATTTAATCTATAAAAAATCGTAAAATAACTTACAACTTAAAAGTGGCAAGTGCAGTAGAAAGAAATTATCCTAAACTAATTTAGCAAATGTAAAAATAATTGTTATCATTTCAAAGGGAGAGTAATCATTATAATTTTTATCTGGTTGGCGCACATAAAACATGAAAACAACATGAAACATGTAATTGAACGTTATGAAGTTTATGTAAGCTGTAATTAACTCATTAGGCAAGTGTTACACACTTACCTTTAATGACTCTCTGTAATGGTCGCCTTAGTTGCAAGAATGTTTTCTTTCCTATACGAACGTTGGGAAAGAAAAGTTTTGTATTTTGACTTAGATTTTTAAAATCCCGTCATATCCCGCCATAGTAGGACCCACTATTCACCTTTTTTGACAACTACCTGTGAATGACAAAAAAGTGATTAATCTGAATGCACCCCTTCGTCGGCTTGAGAACTGATAAAAAGCTCGTAAGCCCAGAAATTGGTCTTTCCGTTTTAAGTCGTGCCTACGAGCAGTTGAAATCGCTCTTATCTCAATTTATAGTTTTTGCACGCTGCCAAAAAAATTGGAC